AATTTGTCTTCTCAGGCAGAAGACCATGCTGTATATGGTTGGGACAGCTCCCTTTTACCCCTGGTTCTTATACCTGAAACCAGATCACATTTTGTGTGTGTAGTGGTTGCCCTTTGAAATTCCACCTTCAAGTTGCTGAGGAAACTACCTTACTTCTGCTTATGACTTGCAGTGGCCCTGGGGAGCTCTGGCTTTTGTACTTCCCCTGCTGGCCCTGGAGCTCACCCACCCCCTAAAGGACCTTGAATGATTGTTTTTGTCAAAAACAAGAGTAGGGAAACAGATATCAGATATAGCTTCTGTTTACCAAGTGCTTGTAGTAATTGAGTGCTTCACCTATCTAGGATCACCTCAATGACTTCTCACACTGGCTTTGCCAGTAAGGGAAGACATACAGTGAAATCTTCCCATTTCATAGATGAGAAAACTGAAGGTAGAGAGCTCCGAGAGTTTCCCAAGGTCACACATGGCATAAGGACCCTGGCAGGTGTGTCAGGCCCCTCCTTACATACCCCAACTCTGGATGGACACCGACTTGGAGGCTGTGTTCAAACTGCATCAGCTGGTGACCCACCAGGAGCACAGAGGGGCTGCAGCTACAGCAGTTCCCCGATCTCAGGACTCTGATCCTCCCATCCACTTAATCAGCTGGAAACTCGATCCTTCCCCAGAATCTTCCACCTGGTCAAGGTTCTCCAGAAGCCCTCCCCTCTCCAGCTAGTGAGGAAGGGACCTTCTCTTCTTGAGGCTGGCCCATGGGGAGGCCTCCCCCATCTTTCTCACAGGGGCTTTCTCTACAGAACCCCACGTCCCTGCTTGGCCTGTCCTTCCCTGTGGATCCTGATCTGTGAGCCAGGTCTGTACACACCCACAGCCCAGTTGTGGGCTGGTTCAAGTTCTCTTCCTATTTTTTTTTTTTAAAAACTTGTGTTTTTGTTTTTTCAACAGTTTTAATAAAGAGATACTAATTCCTATTAATGATATAAGAACTTAGCTCTTAAAGGTGCAGTGCAGCTAAAACCAGAGGCCACCATTGGCTCTAGCCCACAGTGGACCTGGTTTCTCAGCACCCAAGCACAGCTTGTCACCTAGTGTGTTGGATGCTCCCTCCTGTGATGCAGGTCCAGTACCTTGTGAGAAATACATGTCTTCTGATCAGATTAGAATGAGAGAAGAGCAGCGTGGTTTGCTATTTTAGAATGTAGAGTATATTCTGAGAATCTTTTTCTGATGTCCATGTGCTTAGATCATGGACTAAGCCATCCGGTGGGTAGAAGTCTGAGCCTAGGATGTGGGGGCAGCACTTGCTTCGGAAGCCTCAGCAGTGGGACCGAATGGCAAGTTTAACATGCAGAGACCCATTCCTTGAGTGGTCTCCATTTTTCATTTGTTAGTTAGTGACTAGGATTGATTCACAGACCGGGGACTGTGGTGCGAAGGGCTGTTTTTTCACAAATGTCCATCTTGGGAGGTGGGGCGGGTGCTGCAGTGGCCTCATGCACCTGAGAGGGTTTCCTTCATTGGAAGCAGGTAGATGACTTCTGCCTGTGGGCAGGCACCTACTCCCCAACCTCCACCCTCCACCACCACCACTACCACCTGGCAGGTGGGAGGCAGTTACCACCTTAAGTGGAAAAGTCCACTGATTAGACAGAATGTCACGGATGTTGGCTTTGGTCAGATATTTTAGCTCTCATAAAATATTATAGCCTTGTTTTGCTAATTTATTTGTTATTGCTCAGAGCAGCCAAATTGGCACATACTTGGGTTTTGTTTTTTTTTTTAAGCAAATCTTGCTCTTTGGTCTGGGTCCATCCTTATAATCAGGGTAATTGAGGTTTGTCCAGAGCCCTGCTGTTTGTGCAGTGCCTCCACTGCTTCTTCTTTTGTGTATTCCTCTTAGTGACTCCTTTTGGCAGCATTGGTATTCCTAGGATCCCTGTTTTAACAAATGGAGTCTTTGAGAAATTAAGTGATCTTTTAGGTCATAGAGCTAATTCTTTGTTAAAGCATTTCTGAAATCCAGATCACCTTACTCTAAATACCATAATACTATTACTAACTACTCTACAGTATGACTTACAGCAACTTCAAATGTTTTTCATGGGAAATGTTAATGCAAATTGGAAGATTCCTCAGTATTGTAATGCTGTCATCTTTCCACCTTTTTTTTTTGGATTCAGGGTCTCACTCTGTTGCCCAGGCTGGAGTGCATGCAGTAGCATGATCACGGCTCACCACAGCCTTACCCTACTTGACTCAGGTGGTCCTTTTGTCCCAGCCTTCCAAGTAGCTTGGACTACAGTTGCACACCAACATGCCTGGCTAATTTTTTGTAGAGACGAGTTCTCATTATGTTGTCTAGGCCAGTCTTGAGCTCCTAGGCTTAAGCAGTCCTTCCACCTGGGCCTCCCAAAGGGCTGGTATTATAGGCATGAACTACCATGCCAAGGCTTTCTTCCTCTTTGTAAATACAGCTGCCATGTTCATGAGAATGTAGAGGAAAGCAAAACAGAGAGTATGTTATTGATTATAGACCCTTTATATAGATAGTGCAGTAAATATTCTCACCAAGTCTTCTTTCTGCTACTGTCTTTGCCACTGAGTGTGCCACTCTGGGTTGTTGCTTCATCACCTGGGGCTTCTCTTCCTTAATCTGTAAATGAAGATTTTGAACAGCCTGTCTTTAAAACTCCTTTAACTACAATTCTTGAATTATATGAAATTTGATAACTTATACACAAAAACAAGATAAGAAATTATATGAGAAAAGATAACACGTTTTATTTACTTTAAAACTTTTAGTAAAATTAACTCTTAGTACCTTGCATGCATAACAGAACTGAAAAATAAATTTTTGCCAGTACTTTTCTTATTTTAAAATTGGCCTACTACATTTTAAATATTTACCTACAAATAATAAAAGTATATTCTATGTATGTAAGTATTACTCAGTGAATAAGCTATAGTATGAAATTAATGTTTTAAACTTTTCTATATTAAAAATGGAAATCAAGTTCTATATGCCTATTTGAAGAGAAACAGAAGTCATCTGGTGATACTATGTTTTTCACTAAAGATATGCTTAACAACAAAAGAGCACTTAAAAACTTAACTTGGATTTGCAATTTCCCTGATAATTCATCAGGGAATTTCAAACTGAAACCACAGTGAGAAACCACTTATTTACAATGACAAAAGTTAAAAAGACTGACCGCATATGTGGAGGAATTGAAACTCTCGTAAACTGCTAGTGGGAATGTAAAAATGATATACCACTTTGGGAAAGTTTGGCAGTTTCTTAAAAAGGTAATCCATGCCTACCGTATGATCCAGCCACTGTATACCCAGGTATTTGCCTAAAAGAAAGGAAATCATAAGTTTATACAGAGGCTGTGCCTAAATGTTTATAGCAGCTTTATTTGTAGTAACCAAAAACTGGAAATAACTCAGATGTCCATCAGCAGATGAGGGATACGTTATGGCATATACATACAAGGGAATGCTGTTCAACAGTAAGATATCAATACACACAATGGTGTGGATGAATCTCAACATATTAAGACTGAATGAAAGAGACCAGACAAAAAAAGAGTACATACTGGACGATTCCATTTCTATAAACTACTTTAGAAACTTCAAGCTATTCTTTACCAGACCGAAAGCAGATCGGTGGTCATGGGAAGGGAAGATAACGAGGACATAAAACCTTTAGGGTGAAGGAGACACTTGCTGTCTCCATAGCCATGAACTTGTGGGTGTAGGCAAATGTCAGAACTCACAATGGACACTTTAAATTTGTGCAGCTTATTGTGTTTCCGTGGTACCTCAAAAAAGCCGTTTTGTGAAAAGCTTAGCTTGGAAACAGAAGACCAAACGCAAGCACAGTTTCCTTTTGTTGCAAGTTCAGTTTTGACTTTGGAGCCCTGAAGGCAGCAACCCTGGACAAAAGTGACTTGGGAGATCTCTTGCCTTGCCCCTTCCCACTACAGCAGAAGAGGTGGCTGTCCTTGGTAGACAGTGTCAGATGCGTGGACTGACGCTTACATCCCTGAGGAGGCCGAAGCATTTTCTCCATGTGCAAAACCACTGCCAAGCCACTGGGGCCCACTCGGTTTAATGAATTGTCTTGCTCGGTTCCCTGAATAGCACCTCAGGGATCTGAAGGAGTTCATGGACTTCCAGGAAGTGGATGAGGCTCTGATGAGGACTCCGGCCAGGCCTGAAGTAGTCCTTGCTGCTCTTGTTCCAAGTTGTCTTTGCTGATCTCGGTCCCCAGCACCGAGTCTCGTGGTAGTGGCAGTGGGGGTGTCTGAGTGTTTTTGGCACACTCTTTCCCTCAAAGTCCTGACCAGGGGTCCGGGCCCCCCTGCTCCCCTGCCAGGCATGGTGGTGAATTTATGTCACCACTTTGTGGGCTTCCTTCTGTTCAAAAATAAAGCACCTACCTCTGAGTTGTGTTTTAATCAATAATAATGGATTTAATCAATAATAATCAATAATAATTGAGTTGTGGTGCCCGTGCTGGAAAAAAAATAAAACTACCCATCCTCTAGGTAAGGGTCAGAGACATGTCAGCGAATGTCTTCTGTGTTCAGCAGATGTTTTCTTGTCCAAGGGAGTCTTTTCTTATTTCCGTCACACTCTGGATTGAGCCTCGGGAGAATAGGAAAGAGCAGCTCCCCTTTTCCTTTTCCTTTTCTCTTTTGTGACAGTCCCGTCCGCCGTGCTGCCTGTTTATTTTTTCTCCACGCAGCGGTGGCGTGCTGCTTGGTTGTACGAGTGTTCCTCTGGCAGTGGGACTGTGGCCCCTCCCCCCTCCCGCCCTCTCTTCCTTCCTTCCCTCTGGGAGCAGTCTGTCACTGTGCCCCTCCCAGGGCGAGTCACACTGTCTCCGCCAGGGGCCCCCTCATCTCTACCAGGGGTCCCCCTCGGTCGCCGAAGGTCCACCAAGCTGTGCCCCAGGCCAGCCCACCTCACTGCGCCCTCTCCCCTCCCAGCTGTGGACATGGCTGGAGGAGCTGCAGAAGGAGCTGCTGGACGACGTGTATGCCGAGTCGGTGGAGGCCGTGCAGGACCTGATCAAGCGCTTCGGCCAGCAGCAGCAGACCACCCTGCAGGTGACCGTCAACGTCATCAAGGAAGGGGAGGACCTCATCCAGCAGCTGAGGTGGGCCTTGCCTCTGTCCTCAGGTCTGGCAGATTCCAGAATCCTGCCGGGGTTTTCTCTTCCCCTTTGCTTTTATGGACAATAAGCTCTAATTCTCTGTCCATCTCTTATGGAGACAAAGGAGAGTCATAGCTCTCTTTGTTTTCTTTCCTTTCTCCTCCTTCCCTTACAGTTTAACTTTATAATTTTTTCATTACAACATTGACTGATAAACCTCAGTACTCAGCTTTTAATAGTTCCTTTTAACACCCACCTAGTAGTTCCTGGAACTTCTTTATAAACCTCCTAGATTGCGCCCTCAGGCCGGTCTGGAGCATGGCAGTGTGCCCACCTCCTGGCAACCAGGCTCAGGCAGGCCTCAACGGAGTGGGCACCCGTCCCCCAAGTGCTCAATTTTGTTTACTTTGGAAACATTCCTTTTATTGGGTCCAGGGACCGTTTACGTAAACTTATCCTCCCACTGTATCACTCAAAGTATAGTTTAACAAATCGTTGACTGATAACCTTACTTGATGTTGCTTTGCTAAAAAAAGAAGCAGGTAGCCATTACTTTAAAAGGCTTAATTGGTTGCATTAAAAGTGAGTCTCTCCCAGACTTTCCCTGTATCATGATCACGTATGTACCTAATCCTGGATTGTACCTCACATCTTTAAGACAAAATTTTAAAAAATAAGCAAAATCCAAAAAAGTCTATTATGTCCAATATGATTCTATCATTTGTACTAAATAGATATCACCTATTCACTCTACTTAGGGAGAAAAGTGGCTAAAAATACAATTCTACTAAAATAATTTTATATAATTATTAGACTTCTTGTAAGAGTGACTTCAGAAAGTGCCAGAGAAATTCTTCAGTGTATCCCCAGGTTTGGCATATTGCTCGGAGGAGGAAGCCTAATGCTGCTTTTAGGGGGGTGACGCATTGCATTTTCAGAGATAAATAGTCCACCTTTCTGCCAGCCTTCTTCCCCTGAAGATTTGTACTGCTGGGTCTGGTATCTGACAGTGTGAGGCCTTCTCATCCAATTCCCTTTCCTCTGTTACCTCTGGCAGGGACTCGGCCATTTCCAGTAATAAGACCCCCCACAACAGCTCCATCAACCACATTGAGACGGTGCTGCAGCAGCTGGACGAGGCGCAGTCACAGATGGAGGAGCTCTTCCAGGAGCGCAAGATCAAGCTCGAGCTCTTCTTGCAGCTGCGCATCTTCGAGAGGGATGCCATTGACGTGAGTGTCCCCACGGCACCCACAGTCCCTGCTCTTTCCCTCGTCCTCCGTCCTGTTCAAGTCCTGCATCCTCCACACTCCCCATCCTCTACACAAGGAGGAGGTGGAGGAAGGAGAGAATGTAGAGGATGCTTTGAAGACTTCTCAGATTGACCCTGGGGAGTTGGGGGCTCTCAGCTCTGGACCCTATGTTGGAAATTGTGGGAGAGGCAGCTCAGGGCAGGAGCAGAGCAAAGCAAGTGTCAGTGGAATAGTAGGAAATGAGCACACCTGTCTCCTCATCTTGGTGTGTTTAAACCTTGATTGGGTTAGCAGCACACTCCCCTGTGCTCCGAGCAGAGGAACAACTTGAGGCAGTGATCCTCTCACATCCTCCCCCGCATCCTCCTTCTCTCTGCTTCTCTTCTACTCTCCTCTCTCCTCTACCCGTCTTCTTTTTCTCCCTGTCTCTTTCTGTCCTTCTCTCTCTTGTTCTTCTTCCTCCCATAGTGGGAATAATCTTAGCCTGTGGTGATAGGATTTTAGGTCATAGGAAACCCAACTTTTTCCCCACAGAGGTGTTCTTGGATTATCTGTAATTCTTACTCCAAGTGGACTGTTGTTCCTTATACGTGACTAGGAGAAAGAGGTACAGGTTCCTTTTATCTTTCTTCAACAAAAAGCGAGTGGCTCTGAATTGTGTGAAGGAAGATCTTTTTTCAAAGCTGATATTGTGTAAGGAGAAGTAAGTATAATCGGATGAGACTGAACCTGTCTGTGAAACATGATGGAAGGAACCAAAACTCTGTTGCCTGGCCGCTCATCACAGTACTGGCAGTGACGGCCCGAAGGCTGCCTCCGAGTACCTCTGCGCTGCCCTGGTGGTCCCCAGTGACTGCTGACGTGAATCCATAGTGCATACCCTCTCAAAATGTGTTTACATGTCCTCAGTTTAGATCTCGGCACCAGTGCTTGGAGGACACTAAGGCCCAGCCCCTGAAGTGCCACCTCAGGCAGGGGATGGCAGACTATGTGGACTGCCCTTGTAACCTCAGCTCCAGAGGGACCCTCTGCCGTAGCAGGCCATGTTGCTTTCCTTGTGCCTGTTTGTAGGCCTTGCCCTGAGTAACAGTTTTGGTCTGTGGTACAGGGGCCAGGCCCGCCCTGTGCAGGTTTCTCCCAGATGACTTTGGCTGGCTGCTTATCTAAGCCCCCATGACAGACCTTCTTGGCTCTTCTCATTGTCATCATTGATTAATAACAAGAAAGGAGTCAAACCCTAAACATGCTGCCTGGTAAAGCCTGCTCAAATGCCCTCAGAGTCTTGACTTTTAGATATGAAGCCACTCAGAGAAAAGACTCCTACATACTGGACTCCACGCAGTGAGGGCCCACTGTGGCCTGGGCCTGCTGGCACTCAAGGTAGCATCCTAGTATAAAACAAGGTCCGCTTTCCCCTGATTTCCAAGGACTCACTTTTATAAAACTTAGCAACGTGTTGGATATTTTCAGTTAGGAAACACAAAGCCATCAAAAACATTAGTTGAAGCTTTCCTTCCTGGGCACTTTGATATTTGAAAAAAAAAAATTGGGACCAGCACTGTGGCTTATGCCTGTAATCCCAGCATTTTAGGAGGCTGAGGTCAGAGGATCCCTTGAGCCCAGGAGTTCAAGGTCAAAGTGAGCCATGATCCTGCCACAGCACTCCAGCCTAGATGACAGAGAGAGATCACATCTCTATTTTTTTTTCAAATTAGACTTTATTTGTTCAATTTTAATGCTACTTTAAAAGGAAAATAAAAATTGTTACTTTTATTTCTACTTCTGTTGAACCCAATCAGGAAACAAAAACATTCCTTTTCCTCACACTGAAGCCATGTTACAAGTACCCAAGGTAAAGCCAGTGTGCAAGACCCTGTATAAGAATGTCTCTGAGCTGAGGAAATTACACCTGCAGTTCAGTCTCACGCCAGCATCAGATGTGATTTAAAAGGTTGTGGCCTGAGAACCTGTATTCTCTTCAATCCTGAAACATGAAAAGCTGAGCAGTTCAGGCTTTGGCTAAGGTTTCCTCCCTTATGTGGGAAAATGCCACATCTGCCTGCCTGTAGTAGCATGGAGCTGTCTTTATGGGAGAAGTTCATCTATTACTTGGTTAATTTTTAAAAATCTCCCACGTCTCTTGTCTTTGAATTGAAATAGCGTCTTTATCTCTCAAAAATGGATCGAGGTCTTCAATTTCTTACTAGCATGGTTAGTGTTCATGTGGATAAAATAAATTCAGATCCATGGAAAATGTCATTCCATTTATGTGTGTAGTATAATATTCTTCCACAAGTTTTTTCAAACCCTTTTCTGGATTTTATAAATTGTAGTCTTAATTTTTGTTTCTTTGGTTTTTGTTTTTGTTTTTTGAGTTGGAGTCTCACTCTGTCGCCCAGACTGGAGTGCAGTGACCGCTCCCGGCCACCGCAGCCTCGACCTGCTGGGCTCTGACAATCCTTCCGCCTCAGCCTTCCAAGTAGCTGGAACTACAGGCGTGCACTACCACGCCCAGCTTATTTTTTGATTTATTGTAGAGATGAGGTCTCACCAAGTTGCCCAGGCAGGTCTCGAACCCGTGGGCTCAGGCAATCCACTCACCTCAGCCTCCCAAAGGCGCGGGATTACAGGCTGAGCCACCGACACTGACTATGTAGTCTTAATTTGTAAAAATTATATTATGAAAGTTTTCAAATCTTCACAAAAGTAGAGAGTACAGTGGAACTTTCAGATACCTATCTCCCAAATGCAACACAATTTTGCCACCCTGGCTTCCCTAATTATCTCACTTCAGCTTCCTTCTATGTCCATTATTTTTTTGTATTTTTTTAAGAACAGCCTTTCTGGGGTGTACTTGATATGCCACAAAACCCATTCGTCTTAATTGTAGAGTGTCTCTGTCCTTTTGACACACATAGTCTCTTCCTTACTTAGTTGGCACAGAGATGTGGCAGCATATATTTTATTTTTTGTCTTAAATAGATACTTTCCTCTTTCAGATCATCTCAGATCTTGAGTCCTGGAATGATGAGCTTTCTCAGCAAATGAATGACTTCGACACAGAGGATCTCACCATCGCAGAGCAGCGCCTCCAACACCATGCAGACAAAGCCTTGACCATGAACAACTTGACTTTCGATGTCATCCACCAGGGGCAGGATCTTCTGCAGTACGTCAATGAGGTCCAGGCCTCTGGTAAGGCAGCATTCCATTCTCTGTCATTTGTGGCTTCTTTATGTCACCATGGGCATTCAGCTTATTTCAGTGCAATGACTGGAAATTTTGTTAGCTCTTATGATGTAGGTATTAGAGAGACCTGTTCTTTAAAAGGAAACATTTTTCCTCCCCCCCCCCCCCCCCCCC